CACTCATGCTACCAAAACAGTTAACTTTTAAAAGCGCGGTTGTAAGATCTTAAAGATCTTCTTGTTTTTCCTTAGGTTGCTGAGCTAAAGAGCAAATACAAATTAGAATTTGAGGCTATAATGCAGCCACAACGAACACCAACTGGTTATCGCATTGAGCCCGCCTGTTTGGTTGAATGTCTGCGGTTCCTTTACTATTGGCTTCCTAAGGAACAGGGGTGGCACCTTTATGGGGATGGGAGAAAGTATGGCAAGAAAGACACTGTGATGATGGCTATCAGCAATGTGAACAATGAGCAGAAGGTAAATGGCGTAAAGTTTCAAAACCCAAAAGAAATGTGGCCTGTTCGTGTTTTTCATCACAAGGACAGCCGTCGAAACCTTGAGCTTAGCATTGGAGATGGCCATGGTGGACCAGGTATATGCACACTTACATGTTAAACTTTTATAATCCAATATTAACTTTTGATAAATTGACCAAATTACCATTAATGTTTCCTAAAATTGAAATGAAATACTCATAAGCTGATCATTTGAACAGTTCAAGATAAATAACATGGTTCAGCAAACTTGATTTCAGCTTTGTAACTTTTTGTGGTGCTTGAAAACACTCTGAAATGGTACAAGAGGAATTGCAACATCTATAAGGAAAATAAATTATATCCTCTCACATAATCATAGTCAGCTTTCAAGCAACTAGTGCTTGAAATATATTTATAATGACGTAACCTACAGGCATCATGTCCTGGTAAATTGCGTAGTGTTATTATAGATCATTTGTTCATTAACATTGTAGGATACTTGAATGAATGGATTAAAGACAGTCAGAACCTGGACCACCAGGTGTTCCTTGGTGCAGACTCTAAGTTCTTGGATGCTGTTGCTGATCCAGAGCTCAGCCCACTCTCCCAAGACAAGTGGAATCTATGGATGCAGTGCTCAGCATCACAAAAGGGAAAAGTAGATCCATCCACAGGACTGAGAACAGACCTCTTCCCAAGTCCTCTTCCCAAGTCCCTGCTTCCTGCTCTCACTGGTGATCATATCCTTATGTGTATTAACCATGGCTTCACCAGAGTTGCAGAAAATCTAATAATGAAGTTTGTCTGGACATGTCTTGATCTGGAGTCAAGGTTGGTGTATTAGTTAATATATACTGTTTGGGCGGTCTGTGTTCATGATTAAAACCTTAAAGAATTTTTGATCTGACCTAGAAATGATATAAAACACTTGGTGACGTGTGCAAGAAACCTAGAGAGCACCCAAGCGAGAATGAAGTGACTGGAATTGTTTACAAAGTTGAGTGTACATGTAGATCCTGTTCATGTGTATACACACTGTACATTGGTAAAAGTTCTTTGGGGGGAGGGGGTGGGGGTAGAGAACAAGCCTGGCACAAGAGGAAACAACAAATCGCAATTGAACAATTATTATGCCCCTTAGGGATCGCTTATTCATCTAGTCATTTTTAATAGTCCGATGAAGGCAAACAGAACATTGCCAAAAATTTAGTTTTTATATTTTTTCATCATTTTTAGGTCAGATCCAGCATTAAGTTTTTAGGTAATATAGTTTTTTTGGAGTTTGAGGATATGCCAAAGATGCAACCCTTTTAACTAGGCTAGTACACTGACCTCCTACCCTCCTGAATGAACCCTGTTGCTTCTACCATGTACACGCTGTGTTTATCTCACATGCCCCTGCTTTTAAATATTAAAAATTATTATTGTCACCTTTTTCTATAGGTATGGTAGAGAACGAAGGAATGCTGCATTGGCACATCTTGCTGCTAACATGAATTCAAGAGATGTCAGAGGAGGTCATTTTGAACTTCCAATTGATCCAAAAGGTCACCTAGGTGACCTCAGCCTCAACAAGTCACAAGCCTACACCATCCTGGCTCCCTCAGAGGACTTCAAAGACAAACATTACAATCACATCTTGGATAATGTAAGTTCTGGTGTTTACTTAAATCATCAAACCTGACCACGAGTTAAATTACTCAGTTATAAGGAGTAACATAATTACTACAAAACACATGCCATACATGTATACCCTTAGCAATTACTTAAAATAGTTTTCCAATTATATCTATCCGTACTAAAGTTCCTGTATCATATTCATATGTTCTTCCAAGTTGTGAACTACAGCAGATGTTGTCCCGAAAGCTTGCTGAGGCCCTTGGATGGACATCACAAAAGATTAATGACATTGACTGTGTGAAGTTTATTTGGTGGCATTTCTATCAGATGTACAGGATACTGCGGAAAGATACAGCTCAACTAAAGCGAGGGCATCCAATCAGTTCAACAAATGTTGAAGACTATGAATTTGGATTACACGACTCTGAAATTGCCAGATATGTTTACCATGCCAATATGTTCCATGCTTTGATGGTTTTCCGTTATGGCTGCAAAGAATTAACACCTTATATGATGAAATTTGTGGATGTTGTCCCAAAACATCTCCACAGCACCCCATTCAAGTCACTCATGCGTGTAGCAACTGAGGGTGGAGAATGGACCCATTACATGCATATTTGTTTTATTATCAGGTATGTTATACCAGCATTTACAAATGACTACCGGTATACTGTAGTAGTGAAATATAATGTATTATCTGATCAAAACCACAACCAGGACCAGGAATTTAAGAGCAGCTTCGCCTAAATATCAACTAGACTTGGAAATAGCGAAAAAATCGAATTTCTTCA